CCCCCAACCAAAACCCCAAAACCCCAAAACCCCAAAACCCCAAAACCCCTGCACTAAAAATAAAATAGAGTTAATAAAAGTTTTAGAGCAATATAAAAAATGATTGCTAGTCATGAAGTCCATAATAAGCCTCAGTAAGTCTCACTGTAGAGTCGGACGATGAGTTCTAGATAGGGATTCGGGAGATTAATGGAGTAATATGTTTAGGACCACACAAGCAGCTCTCCCTTTTGATAAAACTGCGACCACTGTAAGTAAGAGTATGGACAGTTTAGTTCACCCAGTCTTTGAATGGATTCATAGAAGCTCAGTCCTCTAATACGTTAAGGAACAGTGTTGCTCCTATAAGTTTCCCAAAGGCAAAAAGGTATTGTGGTTTTGATGATCTATAGGTTTAACAATCCTATACCTCCTGGGGCATCAGTACCGTTTTATAACACTGCAAGGAAATTTGATAAGAAGAAGGGCACTGGATTTGGATATGGAAAGAAGTTAGGACCTGTTATGAAATCATATTCACCAGGACCTGGAAGATACGATGATCCCTCACTCTTGAGTTTAGCCAGGCTGAAAGACAGCAAGTTCAAAAACGCGAAGTTTGGTGGGGGCTATGACAGATTTAAGATGGTACATAATGTGGCTAACTCTTAGACTTGTGATATTCCTATAGGAATTAAAATCTACGATGATCGTGATAAGCCTTGACCGAATTTCTATAAGGCCAAGAAATACCCTCAATACTCTATGGGCAAGAAGCTGCCTGGGATGATAGAGATCCTTGAGAAGAGCGCCGAGTTGCCTAGCCCATTCCATTACAAAATAAAGACGGAATATGTCTTGCCATCAAGGCATAAAAATGTTGGTTTTGGGTAAGTTTTCCAGAAATTTTTGTGCTTCTAAATATTTCGAAAGTTTCAAACCAGTTTAAAACCTTTGATTTAGATATGGTGAGAAGAGTAATAAATAAAGACAAGGAGTTGTCCCCAGGCCCAGGAGATTATAACCTCAACTCTTTTACTGATAAATTCAAACCCTCTATCTATAGTATCGTCAGGAAAAAGCAGAAGGGAGGTCTGAGCAGGAGCATCCAACCGACACCCAGAGACTGTAGTCTGGCAAAACCACTTAGTGGAGGTGTCTTTGATCCAATGGGAGTTGTAACAAAGAAAGGCACCGTTGGTTTCAATTATCCTCCTCTGAAACAACCTGGTTACTTCAAAAGTGCAAATATGATGTTTTATAAGACTGATGGATTTAATAATAACCAGAAGAAGTTTGGAGCCTCCAAGAGAATGTTAGAGGTTCATAAAGGATCTAATTCTAAGAGTATTATGGAGAGCAATGCTCAAAGTGTCAAAAATTCCATTAGTGATTAATCATTAAATCTTCATAAAAGAATTAAAAATCTTACTTGAAACTTAATTTTTCAAGTCTACATAGACTGATATGATGGTCTTGGGAACTTTACCAGAACTTTTGGCCGCTTCATATCCTCATTCTCTACCCAGAATCTCTCAACAGTTATTTATAGTGTCAATATTCGTCTGAAAAACAGGGGTTTTGGGGTTTTGGGGTTTTGGGGTTTTGGGG